TGATAAGTATGATGTGAAGATATGATGTATGATAAGTATGATGTGAAGATATGATGTATGATAAGTATGTATGATAAAGATAATGTATGATAAGTATGATGTCTAAAGATAAGTATGATGTGAGATGTATGATAAGTATGATGTCTAAAGATAAGTATGATAAAGATAGAGTGCAGCAAAATGAAGGCTGTGAAATTTCTCAAAAGAACTATTTATACACATATACGTATGTATGTAAAATAGATTAAGGAAAAAATAAACCTTCTTTCAGTGATACTAGTGGTATGTATACTCAGTTTTCACTGTTATAACATGAAGATTTCAAGAGTAGTACTTAGCAGATTTACCCATTTTCTACAGGAGTTTCCACCATGGTTTACCATAATTTCCATTATGGCATTTAACATGTTTTTCTTTTACCATGGTATTCTGTGTCTTTTTTCATAAAGCATACTGATGATCCATAAACACCAATGGAAGACCAAAGGTTGTAAGGACCACTCTAAGTAATGAATCCCATTAAGGAAAGAGAAACAATCCACCACCAGATACAAACCCCAGGGATATAACATGACATGTTGTAAAGCAAAAACAAAAATATTAAGTCCAAGAAAGAAAATCCAGACTGAGAAAGCACAGGCTCCAAGAGTGTGTGCCTTCCTGGTGGTTGATTGAAGTGATAACCATCGAGTTGTCACAGTGGATCATCACAAGATGACTTGACAACTGCAACCAAAGAAGATAGCATGCCTGATAAGATATAATGATCTCCAGTGACAACAATGATCCTGAAAATGGTAATTAAAGTCAGTAACAGACCAGAATGCAAGATTTTGTAAAGCACATTTTATTCAAAAGAACAAATATGAACAAAATCCAAACTATCAGGGAAAAAAAATTATTAAAAACTGAAAGAAAGACAGAAACATATCTGACTTGTATCATGTCAATTGAGAAAGTGAGGTTCATGTAAAGTAGTACAGTGGGAGCCAGCTGCTCTAGGAGTGTGTGTTGTGCATCTATTGGTGGAGGGTTTTCGCATGTTCTATGCATACAAAATGAGCAACTCGAACTTATGGGGTATAAAGGCTAGCATGTCAAACAAGAAAATTTATTTTCAATGTGTTAGGAGGCAGTGGAAGATCGAGAAAAGGTATTGTGTGAACGTAGGCACGTATCATATCGGAAATGAGTAAGAAGAGGTAGAGTATGAAAGAGATGAGAGAAATGATGAGAAAGAAGGGTTACAGAAGAAGTAAAGACATAAAAGATAAAGTGGGAGAGAGAGACATATCAATGGAACCAGAGTCCAGGATTGATTCTAAAGAGTTGCTGCCAAGAGCCATGATAAGAAGAGAGAGAGACAGGAAGAACAGGAGCTTGATATGACACTCGAGGATGGATGGCAAGAGAGGGGTAGCTTGATATGACTCTCGAGGATGGATGGCAAGAGAGAGGTAGCTTGATATGACTCTTGAGGATGGATGGCAAGAGAGGGGTAGCTTGATATGACTCTCGAGGATGGATGGCAAGAGAGGGGTAACTTGATATGACTCTCGAGGATGGATGGCAAACAGAGGTACTTTTGGACAAGCGATTCAGAAAATCAAGAAAAAACTAGAAGAGTGCTGGTGAGCAGCTTAAGCCCCAGGATTCCAAGGAATCAGAACAAGAGCTAGTCTATAAGCAAATAGTTGAGACAAAGGTCCCGATTATAAAAAAGGTGATTCAGATATCTGACTGAGAAGATCCCCAAAACAAAGAAACGAGGTCAAAATACAGACAGGAGAGGAAGAAATGGAAACCATAATGGCAAATAATGAAGAATAGGTTTCTCCACCAAAACTATTGAAGTTGTAAAGAAAAGATTCAGTGAGGAGGTGAACGGAGTAGATGGAGTAAAGGAGTAGGGTAAAGATGAGACAAAAACAAACAAATAAATGGAAAGAAGGAGAAAGATGAGCACCCCAAATAGAAAGAAAAGACATGAGAGACTGGAGATTAAGAAATATGAAAGGACCACGACTGAGTAATTTCTATAATAAACTCATGTATTCCAAATGAAAATGAGGTGTCTTTAGGAAAAAATGAATTTAGACAGAGCTGTTACAGGTCTCCAAATTCTAGATTTCCTTGGAACCACAAAAAAGACAAGAGTTAAAACCGGGAGAAGTGAGATCAATATATTAGCTTGGAATGAAGAGGAAAAAAACATTAAGACCAGATTGAAGGATCTATAAAACCCAAGGGTCCCACAGAAGAAACATTGATCCAACAGATCATTTGGGGTAGAAAAGAGTCACTGAATGGGCCAAGAAGACTCATCTTGCCTACAACTACATTTGGCCACTTTGTATGATTGGAAGGAATGAGATGAAGTGGCTAACATCAGTGAGAAGTAGAAGAGGGAGGCAAGGTAGGAAAAAGTCACTGATTGCTTCCAAAGAAACAACCACAAGAAGTAAGTTGAAATGCTAAATCTTAATTAACTCTTATTCGATGACGAGGAACCCACTTTGAGACTAATAATGGCTGGAGACGGCTTAAATGGGTAATGAAGAAAAACTTTAATATAACTTTAACATGACAGCAAATGTACAACGTTTCGACAAGGTTTTGTCATCATCAGATACCAATTAAAAAATTGCCGTAATCCCAACTAGCCTGCTACCTCAAACCAGATAAATATCATCAAAAAGAGAAACGATATCTCCTTCCTAAGACAGTGCCGCTCTGAAAAGCTAATTCCTAAATTTGTGAAGGTCAAGTTATCGAAAAACTTAAACCAGTTTTCAGGCATTATCCAAAACATGCAGAAAAAACTTCTAAAAGCAACCCTGAATTCCAAATATCAAGAACTGGACTATTTACAAAAACTCAAACAGAAATTAGACCAAAGTATGTTCTCTCACCAATCCACTACCATAAACCAATCATACCGTGAAACTATCTCCAAACTACGTAACCTGAATATAATTCATCACGGCGATTAATCGAGGTTGTGTAAGTCTAAACGTTTATCTTTGTTATTCCATGTATAACCTTTTCCAAATTCGATGACGAGGAACCCACTTTGAGACTAATAATGGCTAAAGTGTGCTGGGGATGTGCATTAACTTGTTGGGGTCATTAATGTAGAGGTTGAGGTCATAAGTGGACAGTATAGGACTACATAAATGAAGAAATTAACCACATAAAGCACTCATTTATTCACACCAATAAATTCCCACCAGCTATAGTTGAAAAGCTCTCCAACATTCTTCACAATAAAACTCAGCCCACGAACAAAATTG